GGGGGGGGGGGGTCTTGCAGGAGAACTTTCTCACATGGCTTGCACATTGTAGGTCAGCCTGACAGGCTTAGTAAAAGGTAAGTTGCACTGTTGTGAGAGGATATCCTAACATGACAGACTGGGGAACTGAATAAGGGAAGTATGTCTTGGTATTTAAAAACACTGCTTATCTGAAGTGCTTTTGCTTAACATCTGATATCTTGCATTTATGAGGAGGGGATGTTGAGGGAAAAAACAGTATTTTTAACCTTTGTTCCTGGGTTGCTGGTTCCATCCCAGCCTAGATGGAGGCTGACTCGGAGGTGTGATTATCTGATGGCCATTTCTTGCTTTATGTTAAATGACATGGTCTAATTCCAGTTCCCAGTTGCGAGTCACCTACAACACAGGAGTGATCAAAATGGATGGTTAACTTATAAACATGGTCAGGGTTGTCCCTGGGGGGGCGCGAATTGGGGTGACTGCCCCAGGCCCTGTGTTTTGTGGGGAGCTGGGTGGAACGGCCACAGCGGCTCCGTACTGCCACAGGCTTCATGTTTGGCTACTTGGCAGCTGCCCCCACCAAATCCACTGCCAGCTTCCTCGCGTCTGGGGGTGGGGCCCTGCGCAGGCTGATTTGCCCTGGGCCCCACACCCTGCTCGGGTCAACTGTCATATTTGGCATTGAGATCAATAACTTTGTGGCCCAAGGAGATTAGAAACTCTCCTTCCTGCAGAGGTGTTCCTACCAGGTCAAAATATGAAGCATAGTGGGTAGGCGAGTGTCCCCATTCCCCCTGTCTGTTCTGTATCAATCAGTCGGTGACTTGTCTCCATGGGTGTTATTCTGTCACCTCTAGCAATCACTAGATGAGTGTGTTTAAAGTTAATACTGGATGCTGATGCGATGATCAAAACATTTCCTGGAAGAACGTGGGAAAAAATCTCTTCTGCCTATTTATTGACCCAGTGCAGTTGTAAAGAAAAATGTACTTGGTAGATGGGTGGGTTGCTTTTCTTTATGCTAGAATTCTTTAATTTAACTTGGTAATTTTCTCCCAGATTTAAACTACACCCTACCTTTACTTATACAGTGGGTTTTTCTTCCTGACCAAGAGCAAAGATCTCAACTCATCCTTCCACCCCCCATTCATGTGGACTATAGAGCTGCTTGCTTCTGCCATCGCAATCTAATTGAAATCGGTTATGTTTGCTCCGTGTGTTTGTCAAGTAAGTGTACAAACACTTTTATACATAAGTGAGCTAAACTATTTTGTGTCAAGGCAAGGATTTTACTTACACTGGACTGTTTTTTAATTTTCTAGTATTCTGCAACTTCAGTCCTATCTGTAGCACGTGCGAGTAAGTGCTCTTGTTTAGCTTATTTGCTTGTTATGGGTTAGGCCTGGAAAGTCATTCAACATGTCTGAATTCTGACTTTTTTTTGTTTTTATTTCAGGACTGCTTTTAAGATTTCCTTGCCTCCTGTCTTGAAGGCCAAGAAAAAGAAACTAAGAGTAGCTGTATAGCAACTTTACAGATACACGCTGTTACCTCATGCATATAGTTCTGTTAAACAGAATATGACTTAGAAGTTGTTGACGGTTTTTTTTCCAAAGGATGAGAGAAAATTGTATTCAGGTGTTGGATGTTAATTCCTTAAGGACTAAACACATAAGTGTCATGCATTACATGCACCAGCCCTTTCATTAGATGAATGGTTGCGTTGGTGCCTAATCTGTGTGACTTTAAAACCACATTCTTGCTTGTGATTATCAGAAACCAAGCATTGCTTTTTCTTAATTAAATACCTGTGAAGCAAGCAGTGTTCTGATGATACCAGAATAGGTTTCTAGCCTAAGGGTGCACAAGGCCCTGATTTGGCAAACACTTACGCACGTGTGTTTAAAGTAAGCCTAAGTATGGCCATCAGCACTTGTGGGATCTAGATCTTGGTGTTAGAGACCTAATTTGCAGTTCCTGGGAATCAGAATCCTGTTGATTTGCTTGGAAGTGTTACCTGCAGGCAGACTGCAGCAGGATGAGACTCTTGGTAAATGACCCAAGGTTTTCAACACAGTTTACAGTCTGCTCTCCTTTGTAAAGAGGCAAATCTGAATTTTTTGTTTTTCTCACTGCACCATATTTTAGTGGCATTATGTCCTTTCTGGGCATTTCTTTTTTCCTTCCTCACTTTGGTATCTTCCCTCCAAACAAATATTGTTTGAAATCTATTTATCTGAGTAACTATTACCATGTAATACGCAGATGAGTAATTTTCCTGCTGAAGGTCATCAACACAAACTTCCCTCACTTTTTTTTGGAAAAATAACTCCAGGGTCCCTTTTTGTTTTTCAGATGAGTGTCAGCTTAGAATGGTAAGCTTGCTGATTAGTTTTTAAGATGGTCTTGAAACCAGAAAACACTTTAGATCTGTTGTAATAAGATTTGTTTCTAGGTTTTATTATAGTATGGCTTACCTAGAGCATTCACATGACACTTGAGAAGGAAGTTCTGCATATTTTGAAATGATATTTTTGTATCTCAGAATGTGAACACACTGCATGTCCTCAGTTCAAAGCATTTTGTTTTGATTAAAAAAAATTAAAAAACCTTGTCTACTTTTAAACTGTAACAGCATATTTGGTGTTTTAACATGTATTTAATAATTGATGTGCTCCTCAAAAATATAAGGGAACTCATTATTTTCTATTTAGGAAAAAAAAAGACTAGAGAAATTCAGTTTCTTTTTTAAAGATGTATATAGCAATTGAGACTTTATTTTCATCAGGTTGTTGTCTATGTAACTGTTTTATCAAAAATACCAGTTTTTTTTACTGGCTTGTTTGTTGATTGAAAACCATTTTATTTGAACACAGTATTTATAATTTTCTTTTATATGAATATTTGTAATAAATGACTGGCTTTATTTTAAAAATTCCTTTTTCTTTCTTTTTATTCTAGTAATATTCGAATAGGAATTCCATCTTTTTTTTTTAATAAACGAAAGGAGCAAAAGTTCTAAAATATTTTGTACAAGCCCCGCACTAGAGATGATATCAGGCAGTAGTAGCTGCAAGTCCGAAGCTCCACTGTTGGTCTTGTGGTATAATGCAGAGGTACCCAAACTTTTTCTTACTGCATGTACCCCCTTCCTTATTTACCAGCTGCCCGCATACCCCTAGCAGCATATTTTAACACCTTTAAATGACACTTATTATAATGAAAATTAAATCTGCCATTACAAAATTCCACACACCCCCCTCCCACCCAGATGTCTTGTGTACCCCATGGGTATGTGTACCATAATTTGGGAACCCTTGGTATAATATATACATCTCGATTCCTTTTGCTAAAGGGTTAATGGTCATGCAAAAGGTTTGATGTTCCCGTGCTCATTTTGGGTGTGAGGCCATGCAATAGCTTTAAAATCACAGCAGATGAGATGTTGTGAGTGATTGATACTCACAACATGAGTATGGTGAGTGAGTGAGTGATACCAGCTTGTAGAGGAGTGGGGCTTGCTTCCCAACTGCTACCTCAGAAGAGGAATACTTTTGTGTGAGTGTTTAAGGGGACGGACTTCCTAGCACTGAAGAACAAAAAAGATTTATGCATTGCCTTCTCCCTCATTTTAAAGTTTTCGAACAATGGTCATGGTTATAACAGTAGTTTCACAGTACTTCCTCCTGTAGACAGCCATCCCATCCCTGTCCTCTCCAGGCGCCCTGGAGTCAGGATCTTGCCAAGCAGCTGCCACTTCCCAAGAGTCGCCAACTCCATTTGAATCTATTCCGGGAGGTTTCGTTGCACGATGCAATGACATTCATGACCGGGGGGCCATCATAGAGGACGTTCCGGTTTTCTGCTCCTCTGTCCTCTATTGATATGAAACCCAACACTTTTCTGTCCTCTATTTTTCTCTTCAAGAGTAAAATATTATGCCCTCTGTTTTTAGATGTCCTCCTTTATGTCATCTATGTAAGAGAAAAATAGAGGACATCATTGGTGGCATGTAGGGGGTGTGTGCGCACTCCTGAGCTTGGCAGCGCACCTGCTGCAAAAAGCACCACTGATGCTGCTGGTGGCGCCTGCGGGCGGTCGCCGTTGGCCCCCCGTCGCCGCCGACACTGCTGGTGGTGTCTGTGGGCAGTCCCCTATTGCCGCTGGCAACACTGCTGGCAGTGCTGTGACTGCCTGCGGGAGCTTGCTGTGCCCTGGGGGCACGCGGCATTCACGGAGGACACAAAGGCGTCCAGTTTCGTATTGGTAGGGGACAAATGGACTGTCCTCTACGCCAGCCATCCTATGACTGATCTGTACTGACTGGACTTTCCATCCAGAAGGCAAATGCACAATACTACTACGTTAGGACTACTGTACGAATCGGATTTCACGTTTAATAGCTGTTGCAACGAATGCCCCATCACTGATCTCCCGGGTGCCTCGGCATCTCTTGGAGCAGTCCGTCATTCCTGGAGGCTCCAGGGCAGCCCTGCAGGGTTGGCCACCCGACAGCCTCGGGGGTGGGGAGCCCTTCCCCCTCGCTAGCGCAGCAGGTTTGGGGCCAGGACGGAAGGCTGCGGCCTGGGAGGTGCCGCGTGTGGTCGTATCCCCCACCCCGGGCCCGGCTGAGGGGCGTCGAGCTGACCGCTGAGAACGGGGCTTCGTTGCAAGCATGGGGCTTGCTGGAGATGGAGGTGGGGCACCCGGAAGGGGGCGGGCCCTTCCGGCGGCCACCGTTTCCATGGCGCCCGGGAGGAGGCGGGCCCTTCCGGCGGCCACCGTTTCGACGCCCGAGAGGATGCGTGGAAACGGCGCCCCGGAGGAGAGGATTCTTCCGGCCGCCGCCGTTTCCATGGCACCTGGGCCCAGGCCAAGATGGCGGCCGCCGCGCAGCCGTGGGCCGTGATGGCGGCGCTGCTGCCGCTGCTGGGGGCGCAGGGCCCGCTCGGTGCGGCCCACGGGGAGGCAGCGGGAGAAGGCGGCTCCCGTGGGCGGTGCGGGCCGCCCCATAGAGACACTGCTGGGCTGTGCGAGGGGGGCCACTGCAAGGCCTTGGGACCCTTTTTCCCTTAGGGTGGTCTCTCTCTTACTGGACCAACTCGGTAGCTGGGATAAAGCCAGACCAGCTTTTCAGGGCAAAACCACCTTCCTCAGGTCCTCGAATAGAAGAAGCTGGACCGCAAGTGAAGCAGAACAGAGGGGATGGGCGGAGAGAAGCTCTCGGGTGCACCAGGCACAAACCGAAAAGCAGCCGATCCCTGGGAGACCAAGGCTTGTCAAAAGGGAGAAGGGGCAGCTTTGCCTCCCCGGCAGGGAAAGTATTCAAGGGTTGGATAAATTGTAATAGGCCATAAATCCAACATCAGCGTTTCGTCCTTGGTTCTTAGTGTCCAGCCACTTCAGTTTATATTTTCGTTCCTAGGTTCACCTTTTAAAGGTGTTAGGTAGATTTCCCCTGAGTGTCAGGATAGCAAAGGCAGAGACGGAGTGGTTATTCTTTGAGAGATGTGTTCCCAATGATGAGTGTGTCTTTTCTAACATGAACCCAACTGTATAGTTGGTCCAATAAACGAGACCACCCTAAGAAATCCTCGCTGCTTGTGTAATTTCTGGACTGTCGTGGCCACAACATCACTTTTCCACTACTAAACTTTAATGCACCAGAAGCTAAAAATGAATCCAAATCCGTCCCAAATGTGATTCATTCCTTCTTTTTTTGGACTCCTGTGGGTAGCATGAAAATTAATTTTCATTTCTTCTTTTTAGTCTTTCAGCCTTCTTTTATCTACATGTCTGGGCCCATTGTCAATTCTGTTTTAATTGGAAATTCAGCAGGAGTCAATTTCTCTCTAGCTGTAGTAAATCATGTGGATGCTGAGACAGGTAAGAGGACTTTTTAAGCCATTCATTTGTCAAATGACACAGGTAAACATTGGTTTAAATCTTAATTCACTTTCAGTCCCAGACATAATTGGAAGTATGGTTACATACTCTTTTATAACGGTGTCTGTCCTGTGCTTCATTAGTTACCAACCCAGGAGCTTGCAAGAACTGCTGCTGATCGGAGAAGGTTTTGATTTTAACATGGGCTTTGCCCAGAGCTCCATTGACTCTGGGGCTCTGCATAGGCATAGTGAGTTTGTCCATGTGGCACCAGTTGTAACAATGGGACTGAATTATTATTTTTTGCCCTGAAGAGAGTGCTTAACAGTAAGGTAACAAGTTTTAACACACTTTTTTTGGAATTTAGGACTATTGCCACTTTCAGACTGCAGTGGGACTAGAAGGGCTGGTGACTGGAGTTTGAACATAACACCTGGCGTGGTATGTAAAATAATAGTTCTTCCCTGTAATTGTAGGTAGTTGAAATTTAATGTGTTAAGAATTTATATGATGCTAACTTGGTAATATATAATACACCCAGGTTTGGTTTCTTGTCTTGGCATTTTGCTTCTTGGAGAACCCCTGATTTTGGACACCAGAAACTCCAGGGTGCTTTTCATAAGAGTAAGGGCTTGGAGGTGCCATTTGTCCTGTGCCTGAGTGCTGTCCTATCATTATAGCTGATTGGTACCATCCTGGCTGGAAGGAACCGTGCTTGCTGTCACCTGCCTGCAGCTTGTGATGGTAATTGAAATCTTTTGCAAGGTGCCACAAATGCAAAATTATCAATTTTCTATATTATGGGTTGTGGAACTTCTGCAGAAGTATCATGCTCAGTGCTAATGGGGATTACTGGATTTGCATTGTTCAGTGGTCATCCAGGTACAGTATGTAAAGTGAGGCCATGATGGACTCCAGAATTGGGCCTGTTCTCACTTTTCAGAAGGATTCTACAGAAAACCAAAAATTAAATCCTTTTCCTGGCATTAGGCTTTTGCATGTAAGTTTTGAGTTAATGCATTTTATCTGTATGGATATATTCATAAACTGTGTGTAGATGACAGCCTCCTTTATTTGCAAATCCCAGTGCATATTTTTCACATTCCTCCCAACACATATTTCTTCTTAAATAATTGGTACCCCAGGAGATATGGAACAGTACTGAAACTTCTCCTAATGCGGTGTAGAACTAAGTATAATCATGTACATTTGGCCATCAAACTTTATCTGACATTTTTCAGAATGCTTCTGAAGTGACAGTGAGTGTGACCAGAAACCTGCAATTGTGTTTGCTCAATACCACTGATTGCTGCACAGAACCCCTCTGTATTATTGAAACTCTTCAAGTTTCTGCTTGCCGTGATTCCAAAATGTTGGCATATATTCTGATTCAAGCTGAAATATATGCCAGCTCTTCTTTTATGGGAAACGTGTCAGGTAAGTGTGTAGGCTTAGTACAAAATCAGTCTTCTGGGATTTTTATATTTTATTTTTGAATAGTGGTATGTCTTTCTAGGCATTTTGATGATTATTTAAAAACCCATGGTGCACTAGCTCTTACTGTTTCAAACTGCAGCCTGTAGACAACAGGTGAAATTCTGGCTCTGAAGAAATCAAAGATAAACTTATCATTTGTTTTCAACAGACTAGCTTTTCATCCAGTAATTTTTGGGGCTATACTCCTGCCTTTTTGAATGTGTGCAAAACTGATTCAATCCGTTTATTATGAGCTGAATTATTTTAGCAGTTCTGTTGTTGGTAATTCAAACAAGTAAATGGCATTTTAATATATTTTCAATTAAATAAACACACTTTTTTTGAGTGGAAAGGAAGTGGAGATCATCATGTAGGGACTGCAGATTTGAATGATGGCTTGCCATTGAGTCGATCTACAGTTTTAATATAAAAAGGCTTTTTCCAGTGTCTTATGCTACTAGTGATGCATTTAAAAGTTGGAATTTTGGATGGGTCTCCTTGTATAGGTATAAGTGATTGGACCTAAATGTGAGGTAATGAAAAACTGCCATTGGAGCAGGAATAAAA